AGTTGGGGAACTCCAGTTGGTGACCAGGTTGGGGAGTTGCTGCTGCCTGCTAACTCCATACCCTTTTGTGCTTTTCTTGTGTTGCATTGTACGCCAATATTATCTAGTTTTTTGAAATGTCTAACGGAGCAGCCTGTTAAGGCGAATTAAGCTACATTTGACTCTGCTCACTGTGGATTCTTTGATCTCATTTCTTACAGTGTTCTGGTTGAGAACATTTAGCAAGGCCTTTAATGATGTTTTAATGATGTTACCAATTTTATCAGCTAATATATATAGCTACATATTAATGTTGAATAGCAAGACATGAACATTTGATATTTGGAAAATTGTTTGTTGTATTGGATAGTGTGCTCAGAGACTGACTGTGAAGAACATATGAAAATACTATGGATGAGAAGAGAAAAAGAACATATTGAAGTTTTATGTTGGGACTTGAGAAACAGTGCCTCTCATAGCAGCAGGCAGCTTTTTTGCACAGCAGCACACAGCTTTGCTGATGAAGAGCAGATGGAAGCCTGGGAAGGGTGGAGTAGAACCCAATAAGAAGGCTGTAGGGATGATGGGGCCCTGACTCCCCTTTTTCCCATGGAGGGGAAGGGAGAGGAGCTGCTTAGCTTGTGCACGGCAGTGTCTGTGACACCCAGTGCTTGCTGTATGTGTAACAGCAGACTACCCAGACACTAAGTGGTGTGCAAAGCCTGAGACCAGTGGCCACAGGAGCAGAATCAGTGCCTGGCATAGACAGCATTCCAACCCATGGCCCAGAGACAGCAGCTCAGGATGACAAGCAGCCAGTCGAGAAGGAGGCGGCAACTACTTTAATATTGATGCAAATGTCAAGAATAAGAATATTCCTGAGCTGGGCATATAGTGCTGTGGTACAGTGCATGCTTACTTAGCATAACCGAGGTTCTGGGTTTAGTCCCCAGCACCTATTTCCTTCTAAAACAGGCTCTGTGCTGCTCCCTCCTGCCTTTTCTGTCTACAGGAGCTTCACATTATCTGAGGGTTCAAGTTTCACAGTGTCAGTTACCCACAGTCAGCCTCAGTCTAAAGATATTAAACATTCTAGAAATAAGCAGTTTATAAGTTTCAAATGTGACATACATTGCATTGTAATTATAGATATAATTATATTGCATTGTGATAGTTCTAGTTTGTTATTAAACTTTTATTATGCCTAATTGATGAATTAAAATTCATCACGAGATGTAATGCACAAGAAAAAAATCATGGTGTCTATGGTATTTGGTGCCATTGGTGGCTTCAGGCATCTACCCAGGCTCTTGGATAGGGGACTTTTGTATTCTTATGGGTCTAGTTTCTATCAGTTTGACCCTGAAGGTATAACAAAAGAAAAACAGTCATCCTCAGTCCTGTGTGTATGTTTGCCATTTAGTGTCAGTCTTTACTGCTTGTCTGTGGACAGAGTGGGGTGCTGTTGATTCAGGACTTTGGAGTGACATAGTGTAACACTGGGGCCTCTGTGTAACAAAGAGCCCTGTGGAATAGGCTCATTTTACAGGTGGGGAGACTGAGGCCTAGGGAGTCAGAGTCAGATGGAAGTGAGTTCCTCTGGCTAATCTGTGTCAGGGCAAGAGAAAAGTCCAATATCTCCTGGTTGAGACAAGAGTATAGACATATCCTTGAGAGAGACTGTGTCCAAGCTTGGGGCTGGCCAGCCTGGTGTCTTCTTCTTTCCTCATGAAGGCCGCCTGAAGTCTGAAAGAACAGTTTCTAAGCTGAGGAAGTGCAGATGAGAGTCAATGCTGCTGTGGCAGTCGGGTGAGAGCCCAAGGAGGCTGAGACAGCAGAGGAGAAGCAACAGGAAGTGCATACATAGGCGATCAAATGGGTGTGACTGTTCCAGTAAAGCCATAAAGCAGGAGCTGGGAATGTACCCAAGAGAAGTAAAAGCAGGGACACGAGCCAATGTTAGTGTACCCTGTTCATAGTGGTAGCCAAAAAGTATAACGTAAGTGTCCATCAACAGGTAGATGGATGTGTCCATACAATGCAATATTCTTCAGTCTTAAAAAGAAAGGAAATTCTGACACATACTACAATATAGATGGACCTTGAAGCCATGGTGCTAAGCAAAATAAGCCAGGCACAAAAAGACAGATGCTATATGACTCCACTAGAGTAACCAGATTCTCACTGCTTTCATGGCCAACTTGGCAAAGGCAGGAGGGTGGCTTTAGCTGGTATTCTCTTCTCCCCTGCAGTGGGACTCGACCCTCCTGCTGAACTAGATGTAAGTGTCCAAACAGATGTGGTATTGGCCACTGCTGCCCCCAGAAGCCATTTGCCTAGTTAGCATCATCGAGACCATCTGTTCCTTTCCTTGCTCCAAAAAAGCAGCTCACATTAACCTAGACCCTGTGGGCCATTGCTAAGGGTGGTTGTGGTAGGCCAGAGGTGGGAGACTTGGGGGTCTTGTGACTTGTCTCAAGGGAAGGGATGATTGCCTCTGGCTTGGAGCAGCTGCCTAAAGGCCAAGTGCTGCCCTAAATGGCCTCCCTGCCACCAGCCTGCTGACAGCTGGTGACTCTGCATTTAATTCATTCCTTTGCCAGTAAATTTCATTCAGCTCTTCACCTATTTCCCTGAAAAGGAGCTGGCTTGAATGCCCAGAGTTAAAATACCAAAAGTCGTATAATACCACCCAGGGATGGTGACTGCTCATAAGCAAATGTACTTATTAAACACTGCTGTATGTTAGGTTTCCTGATTGCCTGTGGCTAGTAGCAGGTCTATCATGTTTTAGGACAAGTCTTTGGATCACTTAGTTGAAGAAGTGCGTGATAAGATCTACCTGTTGGAAGAGAAATAAAAGTGCCTGCGTGTAAGATAGGGCAGAAACAAGGGTTAGGATGATTTTCTTGAGGTAGAAAATGAACAGAGAATCCGAACTGCAGAAAATTGTATACTGTTTACTACCTGCCAGAAGTCCTGCTAGCCCTTTCATACTTCACTATTGTTCAAATCTTGAAGCAACCAACCCTGCGAGGTGGGAGTTATTAGTCTCATGAGGAAATGAAAACTCAGAAGGTAAGCCTAGGTCTCCCAACAGGAAGGAGTCAAGATAGGTTTGGCTGAAATGCACAGCGTCCCAGACTTTAAGAGAGGAGGGAGAGGCTTTGGAGAGGAGCCAAAGAGAGAATTCCAACTCCTAGTAAGAACTACCATTTGTTAGCACACACTGAGTAAATGACACTTATTTGACTATCATGGCACTTGGTACTCTGTATGGGTGTAAGCAACAGAAACATGCCAGAGCAAGCCTAAGAGGAAAAGGAGGGTCTTTATTTAAAAAAACGAAAAGGTGTCTCCTAAACTGTTACTGTGCTCTACGGTGGCCTGACTCCAGTCTCAGGGGGCAGGGGATGAGTAGGCACAAAATCAACAACACAGACTTTGGGAGATGCTGCTCAGTAGCAGGCTGCCAGCAAGCTCGTTTATTGTGTACAAAGGGCTTTCCTATATACCCCCCAAACCTCCCCCATTGGCCCTGAGGGTTGAGCTGTATATTGTCTATTGGCTATAATCATCACATATGAATTGCTGTAGAGGAGGATTACAGTAGTATATATGCACGATATGTACAAATGAATAATACTATAGTATATATAGCATGTGTATATATATATATATATATGTATATATATAAATTACATAAGGCTGGGCATGATGGTGCATGCCTTTAATCCTAGCACTTGGGAAACAGAAGCAGGCAAATCTCTGTGAGTTTGAGGCCAACCTGGTCTTCATAGAGAATCCAGGCCAGCGAGGGCTACGGGGAGACCCTGTCTCAAAAAGACCCCCCCCCAAAAAAATTACATGTACATGTACAGATAGATATCTACAATTACTGTATTTTTCCTAAATATACATACCTATTATTAAGTTTAGTTGGTAAATTGGGCACAGTGAGAGATTAATAACAATAATGAATAGAGCAATTATAACAATGTGCTATAAAAAATGAATTACTTGTTACTGGAATCTTCCACTTAATGTTTTCAGACCACAATTGACTACAGGTAACTCAAAAAGTGAAATTGTAGGTGGGGTCGCTACCATAGTCTTAAATTCCTCCTGGAGTCAGAAGCTCCAATGGCTTAGGTCTGAGAAGGGCCACCAAAGAGTCTGTGTAAGTTCAATTCACTGTATTTTACCACTCTTCTTTCAAGGACAGTGGCTAATCAGCAATTTAATACAGCCAGTGATAGAACAAGAAGCAGGCCTCTGGGAACTGTGTCCTCATGCTCAAAGGTCATCTTGTGCTGGACAAATCCACATGATAGGGAGGGTGTGAGAATCAGCCATTCTTGAACACTGGGGACTGGACCACATGGCTTCTCTTGGTTCCACCTAGCCCTCTAGCTGAAATCTGTCCTGAAAACTGTCCATGGCAGAAAAAAAAAACAAGAAAAAACAACAACAAAACAAACCAGGACACCCCAGGGGGTCTGAATGTTCTTCTCTGACCTCTCACAATCCCAGAGCAGATGGACTTCCTTTGTGCACTTTGTGCACTTGAGAATGAGTGTCTGTTCTTAGAGATTTCAGTTTACCCATGGGGTCAAGAGGATGGAGCTTGTTTATAATGAATATTTTGGTATAGACCTGACTCAACACTAACTTAGCTACCTCGGGTGCTTGACCCAAAATAAACACTAATTCATGTCTAAAAAACTTGGCCACAATAGTACAAATTTAGACAATATTAACTTACCTCAAGATTTGATGGAGTGTGTGCTCAGTTGGAAACATTACCTAGGGATGTTTATCTAAGAAGAACTATCTGAACCCTCCTTCCGGTTCATAAATGCTGACTGTACGCCAGACACAGGTGGGCAGCAGGGCAGGGAGTCTGCTTCTTTCTGGGCACAAAATAAGCCTCAGACAACAGGAAGCGTTTTGTGGGAAGGAGAGCTTTTGAAGCTGTTTGTTAAGATGGTGTTAACAATATCCTGCTTCTTGTTTTGCAGATTGGAAATCTGGATGATTACTACCATTTTTACCACAGCAAGACCTTTAAACGATCGACTTTAAGCAGCAGAGGCCCACACACCTTCCTCAAAATGGATCCCCAGGTACACAGAGGGCCTGATTCATTCCTGAGGACTGGACTGAAGTGGTTGGTTCTGCCTTCCTGAAAATGTTCAAGTTTGGACTGTAATATGATTCTACTCTAAAATTTCACTTTCCATATCTACTTTGAATAAAGCATAGCAGAGATATAGCAAAATATCAGATTAACTAAAAGCCTGTAGTGTTTGTCTTTTACCAGACTTGAGAATTTAAATATTTGACTTTAGCTGGAAGGAACATTCAAGTGAGTATAAATCTATTAATTTTTAAAAAGTTAATAGGGCTCAGGAGATAGCCCAGTGGTAGAGCACTTTCCCAGGATGCAGAAGACCCTGGGATCTACCCCAGCACTGAAAAATTAATTTTAATTAAAAAATTAAAATATACAATAACTACAAGAGATACCTATAGAATCTCTTGCCTATAAAGAAAAGCCACTATGCTCTTAATGCAAGTATTTAATAATGAAATTAGACATCAGATATAGGGATGTTTTGTGGTCCTTATAACATATCTTAATGGCTGTCATAAACTTAAAAACTGGGGCAGTAAGAATGATTCTTTACTTAAAAATTTATATGATCTGTTTCAGATTAAAATAAGTATAATGTAAAATTATATATTATATATTTTATACTT